ATGGAGACACACAAATCACAGTCAAGCGCTAACAGTTAAAATAATTGGGATTAAACTGAGCGTGTGATTACGGACCGTTAATTGGGCATAAGTTCACACTGCAGAGCCATTGTTAGCTGTAAAAAGCGTTGGCGACGAATATTTTTTTAAAGTCACCGAGTTTGTGAATAAAGCGAGAAAAATGGACTGCCAACGAAACGTCGCGTCGTCTTCAACAGAATTCACTTGGAGCGCATGGGCGTTGCACTGAACGGGAAACTTCATTCGTTAGTGAGTCTATAAGCGAAAACAGACACAGGTGCCTACTTCAGTATTTGCGTTAAGATTTTTTTCTCCACTTTTGTTTTTTATTTCATTTTTAGAGACTAGATGTGGAAGCGGGTTTCTAATTTCTCCGATAAGTATTATGTTTATGTTGGAAAAAATCCGAGTCTCCCATTTGTCATACCGGTTGCATCAGGAATAATTTGTTCAGACGTATATTAATGATACTCTGATCTTGCTTTTGAAGGTTCCTGGTTCATCGCAGAGACGTGTAAGCGAGATGCTACCATCACCTAATTTTAAGCCGACGAGACACTCATTTAGGTATCGACTTTTCAGATCGAAAGACACGCATATGAGTGTCACACTGTTAGCATGTCTATTTGTTCTGAGTTCTTGTTAAATAAAGGAAAGAAAAGAAAAGAAGTAAAATAACTCCAAGTATCACTATACTGTTGGTTTTAATGTCATGGAATGGTCCATCGCGAATCAACAGAAACTAGTACCGACAATTTCGAGGAACAATGCGAAGAGGTATTCTTGATAAAAAAAAAAAAAAAAATCATTACAGCGAATGTAATAAAGTCGGGTACGCTGGCATGTCTTTTCCAACACTTTTTGGAAACCGATACGTTTAAATACCTGCTGTGAAAGCGCAAAAATATAAACTTTTTGATAAATCACGTTTTTCATTGTTATCATATTTTTCAGAAAACTGGCTAGCATTCTCGCACGATTTTTTATAGTAAGAAAAAGTGACAGTGGCGTGGCGTGCTTTGCGATATATCGATTGTTATGCCATTTGAACCTATGGAATAGGATCGATGAACAGGGTGTTCGCAGCGAACACCTTAATAATCGATTCTTTACCATAGGTTTAAATGGCATAACAATCGATACATCGCAATTCACGCCACGCCACTGAAAAGTAATGATTGGCAAAGAGGCTCTACTTAAGAGGGCAGTTTTGATGGAATCGTGAGCTCCATAAATGACAGAAATAATTCATCAGTTTCATCAAAGTAAGCATGCGCGGCAGCTGCCGTGCAAAACGGCAACAATACATCGCTAGGTGACCTTAGTGAGGCTAAAGAGGGAAACAGAAAAATAATAAAAGGAGAAAAACAATGAACGCTGGGACAATTACGCCTCAGTGAGCTTAAATAAAAACGCTGCGATGTGACTTATGAAAATGAAGACTCCACATAAGGATGTTTATGAGGGCGATGAGAAGTTGAGTACGCATCTTTCCACACTTGGTCCGCCATAAAAACTTTCCAATTCATGTTCCGCGGTACACACCAGGGTTGCGAGTTAAATCCAATTCAAAATTCTCCGACTGTCTCTGACTTTTTGGAGAAATTCCTCGACTACTGACGCAGAAATTCCCTGACTTCTTACAAAAAGCTTAATTCAAAAACAGCGATACAAACTTTGAAGCACCGGAATAGTAGCATAGAGCATAAAGTTGAAACTTCCAAGAAACCCGAATCCAGACATGAACGCAGAAACGGTGCTGAATTTTTGCTTCGACTTATCTTACTTGCATTATAAACATCTCATTCTACGGGGGAAATCGAGTAGAAGTTAGCGACGGTCATTAAAAGCACAAGCACAAAGATTATAATCGGATTTACTCGCCTTGCCGACATCGAGCTGGGCCAAAATGCGTGATACAACTATTTCAACTCCGGAGCCGCTCAAATTGCGTCCATCGAGTTGAAGGCGAACTTGATTGCTCACTCCTACCATCAATTATTCAGATGTGAGCCCGAGAGCAGGGCTACATCCTAATTTTGGCAACTTATCTCAGTGTCAATATCAACATATTTTTCTGCGCAACAGAGGCGGAACCAGCAATTTGGCAACACCGGATTTCCTCCATTTAAACCGATGCCAAATAATCGATTCTTGTAGGAGCACCTGGCCCCCCTATGAATCGATAAATTTCCATAGGTTTAAGTGTAGGAAATCCGGTGTTGCCAAATTACTGGATCCGCCAATGCTGCGCAAAGAATCACGGAAAAGTTACTGAACGTTTCGCTTCTACGACGGTCAGTAAAAGCACGAAGATAACAATTTAAATCACTCGCCTTCCGGACATCGCGCTAAACTAAAATGCATGATACAACTATCTCAACTCCTGAGCCGCTCAAATTGCGTCCATCGCGTTGAAGGCGAACTTGATTTCTCACTCCCGTTATCAATTATTCAAATATTAGCGCGAAGCTATCTACATTATATATGAGAGATTTATATTCATGAAACCTTATGTGAAGAAGAGCAATTTTATGCGGTGATACATTTCAATTAACTTTTCTAGCCCTACCTCATAGAACACAGTATAACTGCAATCTAAAGGATCTGATAAAGAGGAATTAGGAGGAGGAGGAGTTAGATTAAAGGATATATTATTTTTGTATGCAGATTTTATTCTTGAATGAATAGAGGCAAACGAAATGCTGCAATCCTCCTTGAAACAAGATTAGGCAAATTGGGCCAGCAACAAGGTAAACCTTAAGAAAATTATGAACTACTTACTTAAAATAAATACAATAAAAAAAAAATAAATAAATAAATTACCCATCACTTCATTTCATAATAATTTTAGTGCCCCCCCCCCCCCCCCNGGCTCCCAAGGCAGTCTATGGAATCCTAGGATTCCATAGCTAGGTTAAACATAGCTATGTTTAACCTCGTTCATAATAATACCTGGACAAAATTCTTGCGGTAATTGGATCTATTGGGTAGTATGAAAAACATTTGATCCGGCGATATTTCGTGAAAGTTCATGGTGAAAACTGTTGTTATACAAGAATGGTTTCAATCTAAACTATGAAAAAAAAAATTGTGCTAGAATTCAATCCAGCCATAAAACTCCAGAATTTGCTGACAGTTCATGTTTTTGTCACCACCTAGTTTATAGGTGCTTTCGACGAACTTAATTTCATCCAGGTTCCCTCAAGCCTCTTTTGACGCAGGGCAATTATTTGTCTTTAGTTGCAGGCAAAAGGCAAGATAAAAGAAAGGAACCTGACTGCATAGTTGATAAACCTATGTTTTGACAGAGTCCTACACCAAGAACTTGAGTTTATTTATGGTACTTCATTAATGTAGAGAGCACAACAGAGACACAAAACAAGTTGCTAGGGAAAGCAACGATAATCACCATGAGAGCTGAGAAGAAGATTCCATTCAGAGTTACTCGATACCTTCAATTGTGATTTTTACCTCCAGTAAAAATGGAACAAGATGTCTTCAGATCCAATTGTCCAATCTGAGTGATTACACAGTTGAAGTATACCTGTTGCGAGGTATCAGTGGTACGTAGTATTAAGTAGGTAACGGACAAAAGGTAACAAGGTAACACTCAAACTGCAATAATTGGTTCCTTCAATTATAAAAGGAACCACGGCAAACACAAAATTAAATCAACTAAACAGTCTTGTATGAGGTATCGTTAGGAATGATGACTGCTAAATGTAAGTGCATCTTCGAAGCAAACTTATCGAACTCTGTTCAGCTCTTCTGTTTACTAACGCAACTCAACAGTCCTGTTACCCCTTTGAGACCACTGAGCATTTGACATTTAGACGTAAACACACGAGTAATCGAGTAGTTCAAACATAGTCCGAAAAAACTGGCTAAATATGTTTGCTATCAGAAATTCCAAACAGTGCCAAACAGTTAACTATGACAACACACCTAGTTGTTTCTCCTGCAGCCAGATTGTTGAAACTTTGAGCGGCTCTGTCAGCAAGATAAGACAAGACTTAGCCCCATCTGCGGCGTGTAATATATCGATTTTCGATTCTTGTTGTGATGACATAAATTTCAACTAGCAGGCTGCTGGTCACTGTACTTTAACCTGTCTAAAGGGCTTTTTTCTTATTCGTGGAACGAATGTAAGGCGATGGATCGGGATTTTTGTTATCCGGGCCGAATCAACCACCCTAACCGCAGCCTCAATCTACCTCGGAAGGGCGGTCCAGGCATTCTACTGGAAGTGTTCTACTGGAACGGATGGAGTGCATCAGTGGAAAGGGATAAAAAAGTGATGCGTTCCGTAATAATCCGCTGCAGTTTGAATAAAAAAAAGCCTTTTGAGGCAAATATTTGCAAGTGAATTTGATCGACTGTATCGACCAAATTAGCAGGGTCAAACCAATGAAGAAAAACACTCTGCTGAATTACACTCAGTTGCTCAGTGAATTTTGGTCAACGTTTGCATCCATCCCCTTCTCAACCCACCTTGCGAGGTGATCGAGAATTTTGGTTGCAGTCATCAATGTTGCCAACATGAAAACCAACTGTTGCAGGTGCACCGTTGCCTAGAGAGAATCTCGTTCTATGGTAACAGAGGTTGGTAGTAGGTTGAAAACTTCAACGAAATCCACATTTGAAAATTCATCATGAACGATCAGTCAGTACACTAAAATGCCTTGATACTACAATAAATAATACTGAACAAAAGGAGATCCCCAAACAGTACGCGTTCTGAACTACCTGCGGAATGTTTATCTTATTTTTGAACATCCATCAATCAGAAAAAATGAATTTCGAAAGACTTTAGATGTGTATAGCAGATAGGTACTTGGTACAAAATTCTTCAGCTGCAAGCTTCTTCGGCATACTTGTATAAATCGTAGCTGATGAAGAAAATAATCGAGAACAACTTGACCACAAAATTAGGATGTAGACAATGTAGTTTAGAAGTAATTTCGGGAGTTGCTTACCTTCCTAAGCTCCAAAAAATTGTAAGTCCAACGAATGGTATTTCACAGGTAGAAGAACAGATTTTAGAAATAAACAAACGAATCAAATAAAAAGACACTTCTGATAATGATTATGAAACAAGTTCATCTCGGTAAATAAACATAAAAACAAACTACATCAGGTTATCACAAGAGGATTCAAAATTCGGCCATTATCACTTCAATATTGAGGCGTTTGCTAACTCGATGGACGCACACAAATCTATTGCAAGTTGGAACTGCAATTAAACCGTAAACTACATCGAACGCGTTAACTAATTGTAAAAATTGTTCGAATTTGCTAATTTGGAACACGTTCGCTCGACTCGAGACGCGGAGCAGGGCACAACAGCTGAAAAACTGAAACTAAACAAATTCCTGACTACTTCGGGACAGGCAACTAGCCGGAGGCTACCAGAGTAACTACTTATGCCCCACCACCACCACCTGTTGCATACATGTTGTCATTTCGTCGCCCCTCCTTCCACAATTTAATTCCCCTCTGCCTCCACCTGTTCCGTCTCACACTGTGGAGGTAAACGGGCTGGCGGGGGGCGGGCGGGGAGCACATAAAATGGTGTACGGAAAAAGAAGAAAAGCTTTGATTCAATAGATACTATAAGTTTAATTCATGTTTGATTCATAGAAGATCAGGTAAAAAAAATAAAAAATAATATTAATAAAAAAAAAAAACATTGATATTGAAAGATAGAAGAAAAATGCATCGCGACTGGGGAAAAAACTAAAATAATAAACATACTCCCGACACCTTTCTGCCTTTTGGTGTACATACCAACACATTCCGTTCATGCTGAACCTAGAAACTAAGTACATCCTTACCTTCACAGAACGATGAACCTAATGGAAGTAGGCCCTCGCTGCAGCAAGATCACTTAATTTCTCGTGGATGTATCGTTAACTTATTTAAGTCGAACTAAAGTGTATGTCTAATAATCTTACAAATGGAAATCTTGAATTTTTAGTTTGCAGTTGAAGCCCGGTAGCTAATTTAAGCTTGCAAGTTAATGCGGGACGCCGCGAACAGTAACACGAAGTTACTCAAATCGCCTTCAGAAACGCTACATGCAACCAAGCTAGCAGCATCGCTTCGGCGGTCCGGCGGCGCTAGAGTAGCGACACGCGCCGGTTCCTTTGCACCTCTCTCTCCCCCTTAATCCCACCCCTTTCTACCCTTTTCCTCGCTCTCTCTATCTCGATAGTTCGGTTTTTATAGATTCTTTAAACTCTGTGAAATGTTTCCCTTTCTTTAATTGAGGAGTAATTTGTAAAAGCAAAAGGACACGGAAGGTATTGCAACGCTGCCATTGAGATTGCGTGCAACTTTGAGAATTCTCGTAATTTTTACCTCCTAAATTATATGGACACTAAACTCGCAATGGTTATTTTTCTATAGTTTGACTAGGAGAAAAAAAAGCTTTACAACTATTTACTACGGTGCAAGCATATTCATTGAGATTCTAAATGAAAAACAATTCAATCTGAAATGCCCTGGAGCGGAGCAGCCGAAAAAGCTTTCATTCAACTTTCTCAGATCTCACTTGCGACCGCTTCTCCGCTCCAAAAAAGGTTTGATATAAAATTAAGGAAAAGGAATTTTTCTGTTTCCATGGAACAGAGTACTCTGTTCCCGCGATCAAAGCTCTGTCCTCACAACAGAAAAGTTTTGTAAGTGTAACACAGAAACTGCAGGAGCCCTGCATTTTTTTCTGTGTATTACGTATTACCAGGGGCGCTTGGCGTTCATGTCCATTATTCACTGCAATCATGAACTGACAGTTCATCACAGCGGTCAGTTGTATTAGAGTCAATCGAGTCATACAATGCTTCATCCACCGTATTGGATCAATTAAAGCTTCTAAACAAGTTTTAAGTATGAGTAAACTCTGTTTTTGGTCTTCATGACCAAGGGCAGGTTCAAAACGCTAATTGCAGAAATGCGTAGCTCGTGATCAAATGCCATTTTCTAATCACACATTGCTTGATCCAGTCGTATGAGATCAAATTATAGCTTCTGATAAGAAAGAGCAAGCGTGAAACCCTTTTTTTAGTCTTTAAATGATCAAAATCCGCCAACGACAAGTTTAAAACACCAATTGCAAAGATGCGTATCCGCGATAAAGTGTCAATCCTTAGTGCTTAAAACGCGAATATCGGTATTAGTGCCGTTTCTAACAGTTCGAGAAATTATTCAAAGTGCTGATGGAGTCTAAAAAAGCATCTTATTCTTGCTACCCTCAAGAATTATTTACCTTCTACTGACAATAAAGAGGAATGTAGACAGCTTTTTTACTCTCCTGGAAAATCGTGTTTTCCGAGATACGCACTTCTGCACTTTCACCATCGATATATCGTCAAAGTGAGATTCGCCTTCAAATTTGCCGCATAGGCAACAAAAGTACCGGGGAGCGCGAATAGTTGTTTATTCGAAGGATTACACATAAATCTCGCTCCTCCCTCCATAAACTTTCATAGAGCCAATAGACCATGAGTAAACTTATTGCCGGATACCGTACACTTAACATTCGCCTTCAATTTTGCCGAGTAGGCAACGAACAATGGAGATGTTGCATGTCTGAGGAATTTGCGATTTGTCTATAGATTCTTATGTAAAAGTTCGCGAGAAACACGATGGTGCCACTGGTTTTCTCTGAAATAAACTCCCATGCTTAAAAAAAGCTCTCAAATCGAGGCCAAAACGAAGGGGATATCCCACGCTATCCTGAGAGTCCACGTCTACACCAAGACAAACTCTCCATGCTAAGATAGAGAGCAAATAAATTAGCAAGGTTGCCGTGTTTTCAGTTTTAGAGTCCCCAAATATCATAATATACCATAAAAATATAATAGGCAGCCCTGTCAATGTATTTACTCCCTATCTTTGCATAGAGAGTTTGTCTTGATGTAGAGGTGGACTCTCAGGATAGCGTGGGATATCCCCTCCATTTTGTCTTCAACTTGAGAGCTTTTTTTGAGCTTGGGAGTTGATATTAGAGAAACTCAGTGGCACCATCGTGTCTCTCACAAACTTTTACATAGGAATCAACAGTCAAATCGCAAATTCCTCACACATGCAACATCTCCATTCGGGGAGCGCAAGTAGTTTGTTACCTGTTTGATAAACACACCATTATATCCCTATGTGAGCTTTGGCTTTGATTGAACTCATAAACGATAATGAGAAATTATCGGTGAACATCGTCATTGATGTTGAGCTTTACTTATATTTTCTCTAAAATCATGCGTCTCCATCAAAGTTCCATTCAGAATTCATTGGTAATATTTTATCACTCAATCCAGCGAAATCACAATCTAAAAAGTATCCGCTTCCGCTTGCGTTAATTACGAAATTTAAAAGCTGGGTCTGTAGTTTTTATACACTATTACTAACTATTAGTTTTCTTGAATAGATTCATTTGCACCTTTGGAAGCCCATTAGCCGATCCGGGCCTAATTGACCCAACGCTCTAACGTACCCCGCGGGCTACATGCTACATGGGGCTGGCACTTACGATCTTTAGATATAAGTTTAAAAATATATCATAAAAAGGAACCAGGCATCAAATTGAATACGAAAAGAAAAAAATCGAGTATGGGGGAATTTTTTTGAAACCTCAAGTCAGGTCAAATTGACCCGACTACCTATCTCCTCTGAGGAAGTTATAATAGGTATAAGGGCAGTGCATAATATGACCTTTGGAATTTAGTTATAGGTTTAAAAATACATCCTAAGAAAAGAGGCAGATATCAATTTTTTTTTTTTAAAAAAGGAAAAATTGACTGTCAACATAGCCGAAATTAGGAGAGGGGTAATTGGGCCTCGTTTTTTCTTTTCTTATAAATCTGAGCGACACCTGACACCTTATTTGCAGCATAGAGCAGAGCATTGCGAATTTAAGCCTCGCGCCTTCAATTTTTCAGACGCAACACGGACANGATACGTCATCTGACCTTCCATCAGACTCCATCAGTTACGTCAGCATGACGCCATGTTCTACTATACTTCTGATTGACGATCCATCAAAAAGATGAATTCTGGAACGTAACCTTGTTTTTGTTCACGGAAAGGCGGGAACTGTGGATATCATATTTTGAGGTTATAAAGTACTTGTGTGTTGCCGACAAACTTTCATTTTAATTCTTTTTTAATATTTCATTATTCATTATCGTGATTTTGTGGCCTTTGTAATATTTTGCATGATTTTTATTGTTTCTCCACTATTTGCATCCTCTTTGAACCGGCTGTATTTTTATTTTACGTATCTTTTTGAAGCTCTCAGAAAATCAGCCGCTGACTTAACAGATATTATGTTTTTCTCATATCCCTCTCCCGATTTCTGCGGACACAACTTATTTAAAAAACTGAAGTCTTCAACCAAAACGTTTTATCAGTGCAGTAAAATTTGGATATAGTTCTTTCATATCGTTTAGTCCGTATCAGAAAGACTGATGTTGAATTCCATTTGCGCTTGAGAGATCATATTTTCTCCCTGCCGAATCCATGATTAACTTCATTTCTCCTCTTATCAATATTCATCTTTAGGTAAGGTGATTGGTGAATTATGGAAATTACTTATACAATTTATTCTTAACTCTATGAATAACCAAAGTGCCTGAGCTGTATTGTTCAAAGCAGTTTGAAAGTTTTGGGGGAAAACCGTGCATTGATGTCAAGCAAATGACTTGAGGAGTTCCTCCTTCTCCCCTCTAACTACAAAGTAGATGAGCTGCTGAGAAGCGTATCAGGTACTTATTGTCTACGGAAGGGCAATTCATGGAACCTTTGGGGCATTATTTTAATGAATTTGGGTTGCACTGAGGTACATCATTTCACTGTGGTGTGGTTGAAAAGGAACCTTTTCATAGAAACCAAGTATCTTCTATTTTAATTTAATTCTCTCCACCCACCACCTTATTGATCCATGGCAATTGTAATTTTATGTACCACATCTTGTGAAAGGCAAACTAGGAAATGCTGTAAAGATTTTGTAACTTTTTATAGTGTTGCGGCAAATGAAATCCCATTTACAGTCAACTCACTTCTTCATAATAGTATTTGAGGGAAAACCCGGAGCAGTTTCAAGGAAGAACTCACTGACAACCTGAGAACTACGTTGCATAATCTTAGCAGCATTGGAAGTCTCGCATACTCTATTACGGAAAAATGCCTCAATTAATGACAGGATGATTGTTGACCCATCACTGACACTACTGGTTGCAAATCCTTCATAATATGTTGCTCCTAAGTGGGCCTGTTGTGATTGACAGTACTTAGGTAATTTCTAGGAGTAATTTTTGTTCGATTTCAACTCATTGTTTTTTTGGCTATTTTTCTGTGCAGGTCTTTAAATCTTGGAGTTCAACTGCCTGGAGTATCATCTGAAATAGAACCATGGCTGATGAATTTCCAGATCCTGATGAGGAGTTTGAATTAATGCACGCTGATGAATTTGAATTGTTGGATGAAATTGAAGGTAAGTTGGACTAATACACGGAAATGATTCCTCATTTTAGAGATATTTTTTGAAGTTATAATGGTCATAAAGCTGTTACTCTCCATCCAAGATGTTCAGTCTGAAAGCATTATCTCAGATGCCCTCTAATGATTAAAGTATATTTCAAACAGTAATTTTTTTAGTGTCGTAATTTTTACTGGAAAATTGACATTACATACCGGTGGATTTTGAAAACCATGCCCCTAATATGAACTCTTTCTACCTCATCTAACTAAGCTTCTTTTTCTTTCTCTCTCGAATTCAAGTCTAGGATAAAATTTGTATTCAAACATTTATCAGTTAATAATAGACCGTTTTTCCCTCACAGATGATTTTCCCCCTGTCAGCGCACCTGTGACAAAAGCCAAGAGGAGTCTAGATTTCAATTCCTCAGCTCATGCCGGTACATCGACTTTCAACTCCAGTAACTCAAAAACATCTGATTCATCCAAAGATGAGCAGAACCCTGCTGTATCTCCTTTGGTGAGTGTTTTACCTTCTTTATTTTTCATACTTAGACAAGTATCTACTCAGCGAAGAGCTTTCATCTTTTGGTCCCCTGTCTCCAATTGGATATGAGGACTTATATGTAACAATAGCAGATGTCGAGTTTTCACATTGTGAGGAAATCGTGTTTGAAGTTTTTGAAGCTTTGCACTTTGCCGCCTGTAGAACTGAGAGGATTCTTATAAAGGTTTTCATGAAGAGCAACTCTTCCTGTAAAAAACACGCTTTTTAGGATTTATGTACCTAAGTGAAAAATTGAAGGATTAACAGCAATTTGAAAAAAATGTGATGTCTGCTATTTTCACCGAGAACATTTTTTTATGCTTGAAACAAAGTCTTCAGGAAGGGTAAGGCTGGTGAAATGATTGAAATGAACCGAAAGTAAGTCAATGCTGAGTCATTCAATAAAATTTAACAGAAAACTAAATCGTTTGTAACTTCTACAACAAAAATAAGGATCAAATTATAAAATGAGTAAAAAAATCAACAACTCTGGCGAGATGGTCCCGATACGTATCATTTGAGAGTCAGCTACAGACCATGGCTGGTGCGCGGGCAGTTATCGCAAGTGCGTTCGAATTGCAAAATGCGTGGTTGTTACTCTCGTACTCGTGTAACTCTTATGTTATAGGAATTGTAATAAACTCTGGGTGGGGGTATTTTTTTTACTCTCCTTTAGCTTTATTTGCTTCAATATTTTTTCATAGTTCACCTGTATTTATTAATTGGAGGCTCTTGGATATTTTTTTCAGTTACCTATGCCAAAAACACCAGTCAATACAGACACTAGCAAAGCTCGAATTCCATTCTCAGAGAAAAATGAACATGTCAAGCCGCCTGAAAACAATGCAACCGCAAAAATTCCAGAAGAAAGTGAAACGACAAAAAGAGCACGGCTAGATGATGAAGAAGAAAATGAGAATAGCTGGGAGAGCGGGACACCTAAAAAAGGAAATAGGAATGAATTTAACAAAAGAACAGTTGATGATCTTTTTGGAGACATTGCGGATATTGAATTAGAGGAACTTCTTAGTAAGTGAACAGTACCACATTTTCCTCTCACTTTTTTTGATGCAAAAACAGAACAGGCATTATCTCATTCTAAGTAATTCATTCTTGAAAAAATAATTTGTCCCTTTATCTCTGAAACAAGTCTGCTCACACAAGGACATGAGTCATTGGCCTCATGCATGGATGCATAAAAATGTCAGCTCAAGGGGCTGATGGATCTGCTGTCCATTTCAGACAATGACCGGCTCACCTATGCAGCATGACACCATAGGAACCCAATATGTGGGCTGTGGGGCCTATGGTAGTTAACATGTCAATGTGCCAAAGTTACAGATTAACAAAGAATTCAAAATCTTGATTATAATAAGTCAAGGACGAAGTTGAGTTGTCATGCTTTATCTTTATTCCTTTTTTTCCAGGTGGTGCAAAACGAAGTAAAACTGATGTAGCTTTGACAGAAGATGAAAAGCAGGAAATGATGATAGCAAAAATTTTAGCTGAAAGAAAACGGCAACAGGCTCTCAAACTCAGAAGTTTTTCAAGTGATACAATTGATTCAAGGTCAGGAAATTATAACAATTTTACTCACTCCTCTCTCTGGTCTTAAATTTTGATTTTTTTTTTTTTTTTTTGTTGTACTCAAAAGTAACTACAAAGCCACGAAGCTTGTGGGCCATTCGCTAAACAATTTTGCAGTAGAATCTGGGAACCCTCCTTTCAATGTTCTAAGAATTCCAGGTTGATACATTTATTTTTGGTGCTAGAAGATTATTTTGATGATAGCCTTAAAGGTTTAATGTATGATTCTGTCACCTAAAGATACCCTTTGGACAGTCAAATACACATATTTGTACAGTAATCAGATTTACCCAGTTGCGTGGCAATAATACATCATCCTTAATCTCTTGTAAATTTTGTATCCGTCAAGGTTTTCTCTGAAGCAGCTAGCAGTTCATCTCTCCGGTCATTTATCAGGGGGTTCATATTGAACTGTCACTGAGGGACTGTATTGGGCTGATCGCTTTGATATTTTCGAAAAACTTAAAATGATGATCATTTCAAACAGGGCTAGGCTCAAAGCATTGCTTTAAAAAAAAAATGAAAATTAGGACTCAATTTTCAGTCTCACAATATCGGTTAAGATTCTTTATTCAAATTGCAAGGCACAATGCTATTTTTCGATTTCTAATAATTATACTTCGTAATCACAGAAATTTCATTTAAGATGATTCCCTGGACTCACATACTTGTGAGACAATCTGCTTCTGTATTTAGTTTTGTCATTTTATGTAGATCGAGAAAGAAACATTCTATTTCTTTATCTTCTATGAAGTCTTGGTAGCATTTAACTTCCGCACAAAATTGTAAGAAATAGCTGCATGTCATGAATTCCTATTTCATTATTTATTTTATTTATTTATGTATTTTTTTGGTTTCAACTGTTACTTATTTGTAACTGTTTTTACTGTTCTATTTCTTCCAGAGGAAAGTGCAAAGAGTCAGTCTGCATGTCTCGAAGGGTTCCTAAGTGGGCATTTTTTCCAATTACTGATAAAAAAGGCCTTAGGCTGTATGCTCGTCTTCGATCTGATGACTATATCAAACAAAAGGTGTGTATTCCAAGGATACCTTCAATTCTAGTCATTATCAATTTTAATCTTGCATTTCATTTCAATTCAAAAATGGCAATGACAAATATAGGTGAGGCACTAAAAGTTGACCAATTACTTTTGGGAGAGTTCTGCCACTAATAAAGATGTACTGTCATCATTGTTTTGAAAAAAATTGGGATAATTTTAATTTTTCTAAAAGAAAACAAGAGCCTTGCAACTTTTACCTTGCTTTTTCCACGAACTGCAATGTTTCCACTCATTTGAAGTATTCTTGTAGAATGGTTTTTAGTTGTAAACAATTTCAGGATGGAAATTCACCCGATCAATAAAAAACAATACAGGTGTACAGGAAGGTGGCTGATCATGCAACCGCTCATGTGTAAAGAGATTTTGTAAAGACCAAAAAAATCTTAGATGTTCCAAATTTTTGTTCTGTTTATCGAGTTCCAATTAAAAATTGACCATACTCAAACAGTCACAGATGGTGGAAGTAATGCATTTTGAACAAGGTTACAAATTATTTTCATCAAGGAAGAAGTACAAAAATGAACGTCATCATGTTTGAAAGTAGTCTAAAAGTTTGTATTTAGTAAGTGGCTGATTGGATGTGGGGGAGTATGAAAGATGGAAACTTTCTGTATTCTACTAATAGGAGATATTCTATTACTAAGAGGTCAAGGAGGAGTGTTAAGCCATTTTGTTTGTTGTGTTCAATTTTGTTGACCTACGCCGCAAAATCGCTATGAGAGAGAGTTTGAAAAATCCAAATTTTAGGGTATAATACTTAAGGAACATATTGTTTCATATATATTCTTTACTTTAAGCAATGTTTCGTTTTCAGTTTGAGAAAAGTTAAGTTAACTCTACAAAATCAGACTTGTGAAGCCCTCTGTGGCATGTCATTTAATTGAGCAATAGTTGTAATAGAATTCACGAATTTTTGTAACTCTATATAATGCAATAAATTATGTAAAGTAAGTTTTTACCCTTTGCAATGTGTCTGGAAGTGATCATTGTTTTATCTTTTCAGTCAGACTCATTAGCGGCAGCCACAAATGCGACCATCAGTTTGTCAACCTCCTTTCATTCCACATTAGATGCAGCCAGAAAAATTGTAAGTTTTTTTATTGTTTATTTTTGCTTATGATGCGTGCAAGAAGTTAATGAAATGAGGATCTTTTTTTAACAGCTTTTATAATTGTGTAATTTGTAGTGTTGCATATTGCGAAGAATTCTGTCTCTAATTGCACCATATTATGGAGATTCTGAAGCATGTATTCTGTTCTTTTTTTTAGATTGAGCAGAAGTGGGAGAAAAAGGACGCAGAGAAAGATGATACATCTCTTGCAGAGTCTAAAAAGAAATCTGTGCAAGAAGCTACTACAGACCTATGGGTAGAAAAATACAAGCCCAAGTCATATCTAGAGCTTCTTAGTGATGAGGTAAGCCACTACTTTATTCATTCTTTCATTTGAATACCATACTAAGCATAAAGATAGTAGATCATCTCTGTCGTGTCAAGTTAGTCAGTAGTAAGTGCAGGATCAATGGACTGTAACTTGCGATTTTCCTTCAGAAATGATAAATCTTTTGCCAAAATGTTTGAATTTTAGATTTAGTCCTCTCAGGTCCTTCATGGCATGGTTTAACATTTTTTGAAAATGTTTACCTCCAGGAGATAATTTTAGAGCCTGCATAGAAACTTTTTAAGGTTTGACAAACTTGAATATCGCAACACTCAAAAATAAGACACATACGTAGCACTTGTTCATTCGTGTTTCTAATGGTTGTCAGCTGTAACAATCTTTGTATTTAAATGGTTAAGAATGCGAACAGCAATGTCCGTGTTAAGATCTAAACTGCTCAAGAGGCTTTTTACCAAATTTAATAAATAATTATTTCGTTTTTGGATGGTAGGTTCGATTATTCATCCAAAATCCAGCTCTATTCTGCAGTTTTTCTTTTCATTATGTAACTTTTTTTTTTATTTTTTAAGTATTCATGTTTTCTTCCCAAGATCAATAAGTTGTTGCCAGCAGTTCAAGCAATCCAATATGTCTTAATATTCTCATTTGTATTTTTAACTTTCAGGGAACTAACAGACTAGTGCTTCAATGGCTGAAATTATGGGACAAAGTTGTATTCAATAAGGAAAGAAAAATCGTTCATAAGGAGACTAAAGCGCCTAATCCACAAGGTAATTTAAGCTCTTCTTAAAGTTCGATACACCATCTATACTATAAGCTCCAAGACCTCCTAATTTTGCGAAACTGGTAACGCTCAGTTCCAGCGTTCTACCGGGCCGATTTTCATGATTTTTGCGGCTACTGACGGGCAATTGTCTCTAAATAAGCCAACTCTTTTCAGATTTTCAAAATATGGCCCAGGTTTTTTTATATTACGTGTCAAAGTTGCAAATTCTCCCATTTAAACAATGTAAATTTATACTTTTTGTCATAGTTCGTTTGAGCGTTCTACCGGGCCGATTTCCATGATTTTTGCATAGATCGACAGGTAATAGGCCCTAGATGAGCCCGCTGTAATCAGATTTTGGAAAAAGGACCCAGGTTTTTTTAAAATCACGTTATAAAAGTGAGTGAGTTTACAGAATGCTCCGGTACTGCTACCGCTATGCGCAGTGGTCGAGGAGGTTGCGCAGTAGCTGTGAAGCTTGCGCATCAGCTCTACACTTATCTACACAAGATTCGCACATAAAATCTCACGTCGAGCGGTGGCCGAGTCGTCTAAGATGTCGAATGTGTCCACTATGATTTCGGATTCCCGACTCTTGAAAAAATTGATTATTTCCTGACCATCATTATTCATTGTTTTACTGCAATAATTCATCAAGCAGTCATTCCAAAACGCGTCCTTTTAATTTTAAAGTAATTTTAAGTAAAGTTTAAAATTAAAGTATACCTCATATCGTAATTTTTTAGGGGAAAAATAAAACTAACACTGATAGAAGGGTAAAAATAGGGCCGCGAAGCGGCCCATTGATGGCGCGGAGCGCCTTCAGGGGGTTGGGCCGCGTAGCGGCCAGGGGGCATAGCCTCCTAGTTCCTCAATGGTTTTGTATAATCAGGGACACCTCCTCCCAAAGGGACAGGAAAAAATTAAATAACAAGTAAAATATGTACTGGAAAATCATAAAAATAATGAGAAATAAGATCAGTTAATTAGATTTAAGTTTTCAATAAAAAACAACTGTCTCTCGTCAGTTTCATAAAAGCACATTTCTGTTTATGGAAATCAATGGCATAAATTTTGTTTCTCAATTGAGCCAGAAATAGTGGTTCCTTATTTCTAAATGGTGCAAAAATGTGTGCTTCTAAGCAGTTACAATTAACATGCAATTTCAAAATAATTAATGGCCTAGCCGTGATCAAGACATGTACTAAGAAGCTATGGAATATTATTTAAGTACTGATTCAAGTTAAATTTAATTGTATTTCTCTCAGAATTTTTCTTCTTATGCATCTATTTTAACTTATATCACACAGAGAAGAAATTTTTCAACAAATTTGTTCCGGTTCTTGACGAGGAACTAGATGAAAATAATTGTCCAAAAGCGAAGATCATCCTTCTATGTGGTCCTCCAGGTTTGGGTAAAACCACCTTAGCTCATCTTCTCGCGAAACATGCTGGTAAGAATCTTTTATTTTCTCCTCCTACTTTTTTATATTGCAGAAGGTACTATCGCCGAATTTAGTTTCACGCATAGGCCGCTCCAAATCAAATGTAAACTGTGCGACGAGGCGCAGCGCGGCGTGGCGCGTTTCGGAGATATCGGGTGCTGACTGAACCTATCTCATCTCATGCCAACGAGGAAAACGGAGGCACATGAACAATTGACAAATCTGCTACTTTTTCAAGAAAATATCCCTCAGACAAGCATCTATGGGTGCAAACCCATAATTGACAGCGCAACACCGCGGTCACTCGAAAATAGAGCTAAAATTTCATGAGGTGCAACTGATTTTTTTCTTCTAGACACCGCCGTGCCGGCAGGTTACATGGAGTTCTTTGGGACAAAGGCGTATGAGCGCATCCGCCCTTTTTCCGGAGAACGCGTTTTCTGAAACTGGATTCTTCCTAGTTTCAGGAAACATACATAGTGTATTAAAAAGTCGTGCCCCCCCCCCCACCCATTTTACACAACGATCCACGTTATCTTGTAGGGATCATAGGGGAATGTAGTCACAATGTTCCGTTTTTGCAAGTATACTCTCAATGACTTGTTCTTTCAAACTAATTAAATTTCGTGCGAAGATACTGGCTAGTACCAACGCTATGCACTTCTGAACTTTCAAATGCGATTTCCGCGGAACTACCTTTTTGAGCACACACCCTTGTTCCAAAAGACTTCTTAATTCAGGATATACTTCTTCGCGCAGGAAGTTTGAAATTGACGCAAAACTGGTCCGCTGTTGAATATGAAAGATTACACAAGTATACACCGAAAAAAAAAATGAATGGTTCATTAGTGAATTCTCGTGTAGTATTCAGCCCTGGGTCCAAGTATGACCTCGGTTTGTCCCTGTCTCTGCCATTTTCCAGGCAAATTGGGATTATTTAAAAATGATTTCAAGGAAAATTTGATTTTCTGGAAATTGATGCATGATCGAGATAAACCGAAGTAATTCTTGAATTTAGGGGCCAAGGATACATAGACACTAGCCAGACATGATTGTATTGCATACCGCATGTCCAAAAAGCATGTCTCCCTTTTTCTGATGAGAGTTTTCCGGTCAAAATGGCATTATCCACCCACGAATCATATATAAAACAGATCCGTTGTGTTGAGTCCGGAAGGACAAAAAATCATTTTATTCAGATAGCTATAATTGAGCTAATATATCTTATTTTTGGCTTCTGACCCCGAATCGACCTTTGTATTTTCCACAACCCACTAATTTTCCGAAAGATTGAGTTTGCAACAAAAAAAAACCCTTATTCAGATGCCAAAAATACGCATTTGTATAAACCTTCGGATTTCCAAAATATTGGTCAGAAGTATATATATATAAAAAAACACGGTCATTCTCTGATCTAGCAGCAAACATATAGTTAGTGGAAGGTCCTCCATTAAGGACCTAGATAAAATAATTTTTCCGTTCTTTCGGACGAAAAACAAAATGATGCGTTCCACTTGGGGCTTTACAAGCGCATTATGTCATTTGACTGGAGAAAAATTGTTATTAGAAAAAGTGAGAGACATTCGTTGGACGTGCAATAACCTGTATCATTTTGTATTACTCGATCCAAAAATTACCTTATTCATTTCTATCGGACACCAGTTCCCTCGTAAAATTAAACGTTCCTCGCATGGACGGACTGGCTCACATCTAAGAGGGTGGACCCTTGGCCGGTTAAGGGGGTGTCGTATGATATTTCCCGGGGGGATGCACCCCCAGAGAAAAATTTTTAAAATTGAGCGTGTTAAAGTAACCGATGGACTTGTGAAACGAAAAAAAAGAGAAAAAATCACAGCTACCAGACGCATCCAAGCTCCGTTATTTCTAGAGATTCTGAGGCAGATCTGGCCACCTAAAGTACTGCTTTCAAGCACTAAAAGTCTGAAAATGATGAGCCCAAGAAACATGACAGCTGGAAAGATCTTTTTAGCTTCCTCGATTGGAAAATGAAACATGCAATCTAGTTAGTACAAGGTGAAATTTTGAAGGAGAGAAAGAGGGAAAAAGAGTGTTGAGTCTAGCAAAGGACAAGGTGTAAAGTAAGGCAAGTAAAAAAGAGAGATAGGAACAAATCAATTAAATGCATCAGGTATATACGGCAGGAAGATCCATTCAGCAATAATTTTGTTGGAAATGAGAATATTTTTAGACGTGACCGAACAATTGAAGCCTAACTTTGTGAGATAGCATAACCAAATTTTATTGAAATTCACAGACTGAATGGCCTATTTTGGATCCAATGTTGAATACTGACTTTTTGCGAGGAAGGTGCAGTCATTTTAATGATATTTTTATTAACACTTAAATGCTGAAGCCGGGTCAAATTGCGAGGCTTCCTAACAAAACCTGCCCCGCAGATTGGATGGGGCCGGTTCACGCGAGCTTTAGATGTTGGTCTGCAAATCATTCCAAAAAAGAATCGGGTATCAAATCAACACAGTCGAAGAAAGGAGGGACCTATTTGGGCCTCTTTTTTAACTTTTCTCCCTGAATCTAAGAGACACCTCATTGGCAGCACATAGCGGAGCATTGAGAGTTCATGCCCCAGGCCATTGCGCCTTCAATTTTGCAGATGCAACACGGACATCCATCAAGCACGAATAGTCGTATCTCTGCGCCGTGATCAAAGCGAGTCCTTTCCCTTGCTCCATTTCCTTATTGTGTTGGTTTCGTTTGTCTCACTTGTAGTGGTGCTTTAAAGGCTACGTGAGCAACACAGTCGAAGGTAAGGAAAACGTAATCCGGCCTCGCTTTTCAACTTTTCTCGCGGATCTGACTATATAACAGCCTAGAGAAGAGCATATTGCGAATTCACGCCTCACGACTCACGCCATCGCGCTTTTAATTTTTCGCGATAGAGGATCACTTTCCGAGTCCAAAACACCGACGATTTTTGAAATCAAACAAGTACGGATAGAGAGAAAAGGGTTCAAAGATAAATATTTCAACTCGCATATTTCGTGAACGGTTTGTCGTAAAGCGATGATCTTAGTCTCAAAATAAAGAGGAAACCACCACCTTTCAGACAATGATGACAAAATTGGTCCATTTTGAAAATGTCATCCATTGCTGTCACGTTGCCGTAGTTCAAATTTTCAATTTTTAGCTGGGGCGATACCTTTATAGGTCACTCCTAGATTAAATCATTCGTCAAAAATTACAAGATCAGGATAAATGAGTAATATGCAATGGATACAGGGAAATCAAAGTTTTCGATCATAAAAAAATGTATGTTTACCTTCAACGGTTTGCTCGGTAGAAATAAGAGGAAAAAAGAGGAATTGCTAATAAAATCGTACCATTTGAGCTTTTTAAATTTAAGTCCATCTTACAGAAACGGTATGAAAAAGAGGCATGAATTTTGGTTGATGCAACGAGAGTCAGCTGAGGCTAGTCTTGTAACATTCATATGTCTCGATATTTTGTTCTTTTTTAATAATTTTCTTCGGGAATTACCTATAATGGGGTATAAAAATGAACAACCTTGCAATTCGTGATTGGTTTGGGGGCATTTGGTGATCTTGGGACTCGGAACAAACCAGGTCCAAGTGTACCACCACTTTGAAAAATCATATCCCTCCTCCGACTTGTTTCCTCAGGATGAACTTGTGCTTGTTTTAAAGCTTAAACGGTCTACTTTCATCAAAAAATAGTTAGATTACTTTTTGTGCGATTCCTTCAACGTCGCAGCTAAAAAGGTGAAAAACTGAACATTTGAACTTCGGCAACGTGGCAACAATGGATGAAATTTCCAAAATGGACCAATTTTGTAATTATCGCCTGAAAGCTGGTGGTTTTCTCTACATTTTGAGACCAATATCATCTTTCTACGACAAAGCGTTAGCGAGATATTGCGAGTTTAATTTTTTTACTTTGACTTCCCTCCCCCTCCCTCCGTGATCGTCCGATTTCAAAATGCGTCAGTGTTTTAGACTCGGAAGGAGATCCTCTATCAACTTTGAAAATATTTCGAAGATCAGGCCAAAGTTGAAACGGACAATTTGGAATGAGGTCCTTTCTTCCCTGCTCTAGTCACAAGAACAAGAGGCAAGTGAGAATGGGAATCGATGCGCGATACGTCATTACGAATCTTTGTTTACATTCCAAAGAGCCAAAAACGTGAATTCTCACGGTGAATGAGTGAAAATGTCTGAATGTGTGAAATGTGCGTCTGTGTTAGTGACTACGCGCTCACAAAGGAACCAGTGCGTCTTCATGAGAGCGTTATCAGGCAACGCGCGGCGCCGCGCCGTCGCTAAATAGTCACCAGAGACTCTGCGTGAAACTAAATTCGGCGATAGTACATTTGTTCAATTTTCCTTCACTCAACAATGTGTTTCAAGCTTAAAGTAATATCAAAGACTTGTTTTAGCTGTAAATTATAATAATACATAGCAGTATTTTTTTGAGGAATCAGCCAGCCGTTCTTTTTAAGCATAGATTTTTTACCGTGTGAGTAAGAAATTCATTTGAGGAGAGTTGGGTGTGTCAATTATAATAATACTGCTGAAAGTAATATTTGTTCATTTTCCCAGTTAGTTATCAACTAACTAGTAACTGGTATGTTGTATCAATAAAAATACACATGCATTAAGTTGCTTTCATAGCGCAGCCTTGCGCTCTGCGCCGCCCAATCTCTATTGCCCCCTATCCTCTCAGAGATCATTAGGCAATTGGCACCTTCTGATCGCCTCCTCCACCCCTTAAATAAAAATTAAATCTTAATTAACAGTATTTCGTCTTTTCTACAGGCTACAACTCGGTAGAAGTTAATGCTAGTGATGACAGAAGTCCCGAACTTTTTCAAACTAAACTTGAAACAGCCACTCAAATGCAATCTGTCATGGGAAAATCACCTCGTCCAAATTGCTTGATACTAGATGAAATTGATGGTGCACCAGCCGTAAGTTCAATAGCTTGCAGTACTTGATTTTTTTGTTGATGGACTTGAAGGATAAATAGTTGTGTCCCTTGATTTACCCATTATAATGATTTAGCTAAAATAATAAATCGGTGAAGGAGGAATGTCTTCAATCTATCGAGCACTCTGGAGTCTTTGCTGGTCAGGACAAAATAATGTTGGACTCCTATATTAGGTGTATGGTCAATTTTTGAAATCCCCTTTGCACCAAATTCTTTGAAATATCAAGAGCAAAGGGAATAATTGACTTTTTCTCTCCATTGTTAGTTTTCAAGGTTTGGGTAAAATTTTCAAACCTTGAATCTGTTCCTAATAGTGTTTAAAATTTATCCGCTAAATTTCTGATATATGTATATGCTCTTTTATGCTTCGCTTTCCTGGAAACTAGCAAGGTACACATGCTCTTAATTTTCAAGATCACCTAAGCTGAACAACCGCTATCTCTACGAAAATAATCAATGTATTTTTTCAGTATAAATCTTCAACCTTTATCATTTCCTTTTCATTGGAACCATTTCAGGCATCGATCAATTTCTTGATCAAATTTGCGGCTGGAAAAGCAGGGAGTAAGGAGAAGGGCAAAAAAAAAGCTGAGCAGAAGCAAGTTTTAAGAAGGCCAATCATATGTATTTGTAACAATATCTATGCTCCTGCGCTGAGACCCTTACGTCAGGCAGCTTTAGTCATTCATTTTCCTGAAACTTCATCTGCAAGGTACTTATATTCCTCCTTTTCCATACTAAATGTTCTATTTCTGTAAAGTGGAATTGAAAAGATTTATCATACTAAATGAAGCACAATAAAAGAGGATCATTCATGAAACCAATTTCAGTTGAACTTCAGGTCCTCCTTAAGCTTTACGCATTATACTCAGGTGTAATTGACAAAGCAAAGGCATTTGTAGAATTCATCCCTGGGTAATAGTTTCTTTTTCTTTTGAAGTTTTGCCTGTTGAGAACTTCAACTTGGCAAAAAGCTAATTAAACATGGAAAAGATCATTGCTTTGAGCTGAAATTTTTACTGTAAAGTTGGAGAAAAATGTGTAAGAAAAATTCTCTGAAGCTGTACTCAATTTTTCCATAGAAAAATATAATAAATTCTCAGCAGTAAGTAATAGCATAGTGAGTTATAGGGCAGTGGAAGGCTAAACCTCAGGAAAACAGCTTTTTGTGAGATAGTAAAGAATTTTATGTGTGAATGTCCTGCAGCATTAACTTTTTCATTATTACAAACACAGAATCTGCTTTCAGCAAATTAGTATCAGTATTTCCACCCTCACTCAGCAACCTTCACTCAGAAGCATTCACATTTGTAGTTCTATCTGTTAAGGAGGATCTGAACTACAACTTTAGACACTTCCTGACAGAGTACACCCTGATTTGTTTATGCGAACACAGATTCTAGTCTAATAAAGAAAAGATATACTGCCTAAACTAATTAAATCTAAGGTTTTATCTATATAGAAAAATATATACTTGAAGCATGCATGCAAGTAAGCTCAGAAATAGATCCAAAGGTTTATAATCAATACTTGCTGACCAATCTCATAACATTATTCTCATTCAACAGAAATGCATGCAGAGGGAATCGTATAATACTTTGTTTTTATATTCCCAACTGGCTTGAAATTGACTCCTTCTTGCTATTTGTCACAGCTATTGTAGTGAACTTATTGTGTTTTAATTGACTTCGTAATAATTTAATATGATTTTCAAAACGCAGGTTAGCACAACGTTTAACAGAAATAGCAAGGAAAGAGAGAATCTCAACAGATCTTAGTGCAATGATGGCGTTGAGTGCTAAAAGTCACAATGATATTCGTTCGTGTCTGTCAACACTTTACTGTTACAAAAATCAGCCAGTTAGACTGTCTCTTATCCGCAGACTGGATATTGGTCAGAAAGACATGCAAAAGGGATTTTTTAGTGTTTGGCAGGATATTTTCCAGATTACCAAACCTCAGCTGTAAGTATCTCTTCATCTTAAAACTTATTTCTATTGATTCATAGAAATCATCATTTTTGAAGCCCTCTGAAGGAAAGTCTTTAAAAGCACAATGTTAGACAACTACCCAATTAATCTAGCAACATGTTAAAACATCAATTCTTTTCGCAAGTCAGCGCCTGAATCGCATTGGCTATGGTCGACTGCAAATTGCAAAACTGAACCTCTAAATTGACTTTAAGCCAAGAAAAGCTTACTCTAAGCTCAAACTGTACTCTTGTTGAGCTTTCTTTACAGCATGCTTGAGCCATCATTAGCTCATCAATGGTACAAACCATTGATCAGTGATTGAAAAAAAAGTCGACATTCTTGTTGCACATTTCAGCCGCATGTAAACTGGCCACCAAAATTCGGGCCCAGAGAACCCTTCTACAAGATAGAAACCCTATGAAGATGTTGCAAAAACTTCCTCTTGTTTTCTCATTATTTTTTAATTAATTTTTTTTTTTTTTAATCTAAAAATCAAGACAGACTGTTCATTGCTTCTTGAGGCTTGTGAGTCGATATCCTTCCGCAAAAACAAAATGCAAGCTTCAATTTAGCAGCATTAGATGTTAGTTGGCTGCCTTGGAAGAATCCATCTCAAGTGTTAAGCAGATTATCCATGTCTTTGTTTTTTCCTTTCATTGGGAGTTTATGAATATATTTAATCACAGAAATGTAGATCTTTTGACAGTCTAAATTTTGAGAAGTAGACACTTTAATGAGAGTCATGTGGCATAGCTGGTAAAATACCTATTTTTCCTGCTTTTGTAAGTGTTCATTTGACCCTTGGTTGCATCCTGTGAACCAAGTGAGTATTTCGGTTCAAAAATAGAGGCACTAATGCTGACTGATATTTGCGCTTTTTTGCAGCGGATCCTACTTGGCAACTGAAAAATCTACTACCTCAGGAGCATCTGCTAGCAAATCAAATGAGTTATCTTTCAAAAACAGGTAAGGAGGATGTGTCCTTGGGAGACATGTATGTATGTACTATTTGTTTTATTTTGTCACTTCTTTAAATGAAATTAGCATCTTGTAAAAAAATACCTTTCAATTGTATTCACAAGGAGTCCAAAATTATTTTTGCTTTCCATATCACAAAGATATATACATGAAAACTGTGAAAGATTTATCCATTGACATTCCACTGTTTTAGACATCATATGATTTCGACTTTGATTGGCCTTTTTTGCCACAGTTTTAGCAGATCTTGTTATTAATGAATACACATTATGCATAGACCAACCTCGTTCACATATAACGACTCTATTCTTTTTCTATTTTACCTCTGAAAATTTTTTAATTTAAAAATATTTGACCGTATATCTTGAATCCTTTTTCAGATTTTCACCCTCTTCACATTTTGCCTGTAAATCATTTCTATCTGGCCAATTTTTTTTTTTATCTTTGTGTTATCTTTATTTTTTTTATCAATTCCTTCAGGATGCTGCATGTGCTCCATAGCGTCCAAGGGTGTGGTGACTATGGGAAATTAGTGGAAGGTGTTTTTGAAAACTATCTATTGATGAACTTAAAGGATTCCTTTTTAACAAATGTAAGCATTTATTATTATAAAGTTTTCCTTCTTAGTTATAAATGGTTCAATTTCATGTGTCCTTTTCGATTTATCAAATTTTTATTTGTGTGCTGTTTCAATTTCCTTGCACTCTCAAATTACCTTTTACTGTGTATGGTATTATTAAATAATATAATTATTAAATATTTTGATTGTCAATCAGAAGATTATGAAGTAATTGAAAAAATCAGAGCTCTTAAAAAACCTACAATTAGAAAGTTAAATGGATAATTGTGGAAAAACGACTCATTCCATGAGAACTGTGGATTCTGAGGGGATCTTAACAAACAGGTGGATTGAGTCATTCAAAAAATTGTCAAGAAGGAAAGGAAATTTTTTTTAAAATTTAATTCAAAATTGTATCAAAAATCTTAATTTTCACTTTTTAATCATAATTTCATCATGCATTGTCCTTATTTGCTTCTATTTTCTTGTAATTTGGGGTGCTTTCCATCAAAATTTGTTTAATAACTCAATATATTTAACTCTCAGCAGACTCAGTACTCATTCAGAAACAGTTTTTCTCCCAGATATATTTTTAGCAATTGTGTAAAATTTTTATTTGTTAAACTCTTATTTTTCTCTGATCTCCATTTTAGGTTTCGGAGGGTTTAGATTGGTTTTGTTTTTTTGATACTACGTCTCAAGTTATTTACTCCTCGCAAACATATACCCTGCTACCATACCTTCCGTACTGTTTTGTTGTGTGGCATTTCTTGTTCTCCAGTTATGAGTACGTGAAGCTAACATATCCCAATACCAGTTATGAGGTAAGTTTTCACCCATAATTATTTGTAACAATGATTGTTATAATGCTGAACGAAATTCGTTAACTCCATGATATGCGTAAAAAATTTAACTTACCTTGTGATAGAATTGTTCGCCACAAAATTCATGCATTTCAAATAATTAGTCCAGAGAGTCTATTTAAAAAAAGCAGGAATATTGGAAAATTGGACGCAGCAGCTTTAAACTTTTTTTTTTTTTTGGTGTCTTGTCCTCTCTCTTGACCCTCCTGTTTACATAACTTTAAAACCTAGTGCAATTAAAAGCTCAATGGTACATGTGGCTTAAGTAAAATCGATAAATTTTTTATTTATAAAATAGGAACTCCAGTGATGAAGGTCTATATCTGGTATGAAGGTAAATCTGGGTCATGCTTTTTGAATGAAACTTTTGAAAGGCAATCAAAAGTATGAAAATATAAGCATGAAAGGAAGAAAAATGTCAAAGTGTTAAAGGTGAAGAAAACAAAGACCATTTGAATGAAGGTGAAGTGATGGTTCCCTGAGAGGAAGCAGGGTGGGTGAGGACTGAGGAGGGGCATGATAAACAACTCATTATGATTGAAGTGTGCTAGAAATTAATGTTTGTTCAAGGGGCAAACATAATAGTGTAATTCTTCAAGTAATGAGTTTTTTGCTTCTCATCCGACTTGACACACTGAAAGGTGAAAAAAGCATATTGCTCCCTTTACTTTGATTTTTTCCATTTTTAATCACGTCATTATACGAGACAATCTCACTGTGACTCATATTAATAAGTACTTGAACCTTTGAGCTCACAACTCTGTGTTTCTTAAGATCCTTTGATGATGAAAAGGATCCTTAGAATTTTCCCTTTGGTTTGGAGTTATAACACATGGAATTTTAAATGTTCTGCATTATCTTGTTTTCATTTTTATTCTATTTTATTCAAAATTATTCCTTGCGTGAACTTACATGTTGCAAAATTTCTCTCACATTGATGAAAAAAAATAATATTTTGATCTATGGCAAGTATACTAAAGACTCTCGCACTGGCATCTTTTTTTTATTTATCCCTCGTGAACTATTGAACAGTTTCAACATATTCTCTTAGTTCCAATATTCACATTAGCAGGCAAAATTTTTCATCAAAGAATTGGTCATCTGAAAAGGATTTATAGGCCAGAAATGAAACTATTAGAAAAGCTGTATTAATTGGTTGAATGGATCTGTTCTAAATCTCAAAGTTCTAAAATATTAAAGCCATGAATTAATGAACCACATCTGGGGTTTAAAACAGGTCGGTTAATATAGTTTACACGGTTTTTCTTGTATTTTTGTACCTGGAGCCTAAGTCGTTTGGAGAATGACCAATTCATTTTTTTGCACCTTACAACACATATGTGCCAAAAGCTGTCCAACCATCTGTGCTAGGAGATATCCAGTCCCATATTTTTCAATACTTCAGAATTTATTCTACTATTTCTAGCAAATCATATTTCAAAATGAATGATCAGTATCCCCAGACAACTTAACATGCAAATACTTCAGTTACTTTCCTGTTATTCGTATAATAACCTTTTCAATGGCCTAAAATCAATAATCTCTCTCTTTTTCAGATGTCTGTCAAAAGCTCCAAAACAGATCAGTCATTAGATGATCTAATGAAAGGCACTCCAGCTAACATTAGAGCTCACTTGTGTAAAAAACCGCTTCAGTTAGATATATTACCGTTGTTAAATGTGATAATCAATCCAAATTTAAGGCCTGTAAGTGACTAATGTTTTTCCTCTTTTTTTTGTTCACATAAATTTTGATTCAACTTAAATCGTAGATTCATGAGTATATTCGCATTGCTAAAGTATGTGTGCATAGTGAAGAATTATGAGGCAAAGAATCTCTTGTTAATGGCAAGAAAAATCACATGAAAATGACAACTTAGCCTCAGTAATATTTTTTGTTGTCCTGATAAAAGAATGAAACTTACCATCAACTAAAACACTCCGGCCATTTTCTTTTACACCATTGCCAGGTGCTAAAATATGAAAATCCAAAAAATGAAGAAAAACGAAGGAAAGTTAGAATGGACCCCTGCAGGCCCTATTAAACCAGTTGATCCTAAGTTGATCGCAAACACAATGGGATCTGTAGGCACAGTTCTTAACTTTTTTCCGCTTTTGTTTATGTTTCTGCTTTCTCCTCTCATTATTTTAGCACTTGATGATGCCGTAAGCTGGTATTGCCATAGTGCTTTAAGTAAGTGTAAGTTGTATTCACGTAACGTCCCAGGCATTTTGTTTGTTTTTAACTCTGGTTCCCAATGTTATTCTCTTTTGTTTTTGATTGTATTTATGTATTGGGATAACATGAAATACCACAGAAGCTACTGATGAAACCTGTTTAAGAGAAATCCAGCCTTTGAAAATATCTACATATATCCTAAAAAATATCTCATCGTTCATTTCCCTTAGTTCGTAGGAGCTGATTTTGAGAGTTAATGATGAAAAGCAAGATGCAGCTTTCTTAAATTTTTGCCCTTCATTTTTTTTACTCCACGCTTTTGTACAGTTTAAAATTGCTTAATTAATAGTTTTTGTTTATAAATTTCAGGTAAATGTTCATCTGTACAGTAAAAAAGAAAAAGAAGAGTTTAATAAAGTAGTGAATACTATGATAGATTATAATTTAAATTTCATACAGGAACGTGCTCCTGATGGCAATTTCATTTGGAGGATAGATCCGTAAGTATTTATCCTCTCAATTTCATTTTAGCCAAATAATGGAAGTACAGAAATCTCATTCTTGCTTATTTCATGTAAACTTAAGTCGGTAAATTAGACTTAATTATTATAAGTAGTACTTAAATCTTTCCTATTTGATAATTTACTTATAGTTTAAAAATGTTCATCTTGTTTTCCTTTTACTAAATAAGAACATTTTTAGTTCAAAACATAATCTCATTCTGTCTTCCATTTAAAACTGTCATCTTTGCTTTTTCCATTCAGAGGTCACTTAACAAAAGAGAGGTACGTTTGTAGTCAACATACAAACATGCCTTTAAATTCATTAAATTATTGGAATGATTATAATTTATGTAATTGTTTTTTTTTTTTTGCATTCCAGTGATATTTGTGAAGTTGTTAAGTTTGAAAGCGGACAATCCGATGGATTTTCTTTAAACGCTTCATCAAAGCAATTAATATCTAGGGAAATAGAAATGGAAAAAGTCCGAAGACTAGAATCAAAGGTGTCTGTGAAGCAGACCTATCAAACACCAAGCAGGCAAAAACCTGGAAGTTCTACAACCCCTCAAACGCCAAGTAGTGAGTATTGTCAATCCTTTCAAATATCTTCTAATGGTATTTAAAGTCATCAAGTAGTCTAAAAGGGCCAGTGATGAGAAGAGCATGATGATTGAACATTCAGAGATGTACAGCTATTGCTGACTCTATCTGATCGATAATATTCAGACCCACTGTAATCTTGATGTTAGTCATTGAATTTTAGACTATCATTGTAAGGCCGGTGGGACATCAAATGGTGCAGTTGACAACTTTGTGATCTGCATTATCAAGTTCTTGATGCCATGGTCCAAATCTCTGCACTGACATGCTCCTGGTTACAAAATTATGAGGTCTTCGCTGGTACATAAATGGAAATCGTTTTCTAACAGTTTTCATTATCTGTTGAGATGATGGTCATCATTATTTTGTAGCCAGTGAATCTGGATGATCAGATGTGATAGTTTTGCATCCTAAGTTCATGATTTTTCTTTAGTAATCTGAGGCCCAACTCAAGTATATTCTCCATTCTGGATGAAGGGGAGATGTTTTTCAGTGGTATGATGCATTTGAATGAAAGAGGAGCTAAATCACAGTACTACCAATGACTAAACTGTAAACTCTTTACGTGGAAGAAAAGTGTCTGAATCACATTTTGCTGCAAAATTGATGAACATCAAATGTGGGGATTATTTCATTAGTAAGATAGAATTCAAGTTAATTTTACACATGCCTTGTACAGGTGATGTAAGGTCGAAAATCATTTCCGTTTCAATGAGAAATAGTGAAAATATTGATCTTCCTAAGCCAGTGATGAGGAGAGCATGATGATTGAACATTCAGAGGCGCTTAGCTATCGCTGACTCAATCTGATCGATAACATTCAGACCCACTGTAATCTTGATGTTAGTCTTCGAATTTTGGGCTATCATTGTAAGGCCGGTGGGACATCAAATAGTGCAGTTGATAACTTCGTTATTCACATCATCAAGTTTTTTGATACTATGATCCAAATTTCTGCACTAACATGCTCCTGGTTACAAAATTATAAGACCTTTGCTTGCACAAAAATGGAAACTGTTTTTGAGCAGTTTTCATTTTCTGTTGATGTGATGGTTTTTTTTTTTTTTTTTAGCCAGTGAATCTGGATGATCAGATGTGATAGTTTTGCACCCTAAGTTCATGATTTTTCTTTAGTAATCTGAGGCTCAACATGTAACATTCCAAAGGAAGGAACCATAATAAATGCTTTATTGCTTACTGTGACTGATGATGTTTCCTCTGTGATAAATGTTTTTCCAAATATCTGTAAATGTTTGTGATCATTGCCATAAGCCCATCGTTTCTCTAAAATAATTATTTTAATCCCACAATTTTCAGGTGGCCCCAGTGCTTTGCCCAATCATCTACAAAAATTAACTCCCAAAGCCATCGGAAAAACATTCGTCGATGTGGTATGTAACTTTTATTTTCTTTCAATAACATTTGAATATTTTGTTCAATTTGCTATGGAGTACGTGTATTATGCATGCACTTGCACAAGGAAGAGAAATATAACTGATATATCTCTCAACTAATTAACAAGCTCACGCCATCAATAATTAAAAAAAAAAAAAAATAGCATTCAGTCGCTGAATAATCAGTCGACCGCCAGATTCCCACTCTTCAAAAATGGACCACTAGAAAAAGTATGGATTTAAGCATTCTGGTGTATGTTTTCTCTTCAAAATTTCACAAAGAAAACGATTCACGCAACAACAATTACTGAAATTAACCACCAACCAAGATAATTGCGTTTTTTATTAGCACTGGTTGCAAAAAATTTGAAGTTTCTGCCCCCAAGATAAACTAAAATCTGGATGAAGCAAATTGCGATGGGTAAGTAATTAAAAAGAGTGCACCATTTGGTCGTGAAATCCTAAGACTGTAACAGGAAAAAGCAATTTTGAGTCTCTTTTGGCTGTAAAATTGATGAAAATTTAGGAGAATTATGTAACGCCTTAGGTAGGGTCCTAGTTTTTGTCACAGGTGCCTTAAAGAGGGGATGGAGGGTTAAGAATCAAAATAAGTTTCAACTTGTAATTAGTAGTGAAAATATTGATCTTCCCAAGCCAATGATGAGGAGAGCATGATGATTGAACATTCAGAGATGTACAGCTGTCGCTGACTCAATCTGATCGATTATATCCAGACCCACTGTAATCTTGATGTTAGTCTTCGAATTTTGGACTATCATTGTAAGGCCGGTGGGACATCAAATGGTGCAGTTGACAACTTTGTGATCTGCATTATCAAGTTCTTGATGCTATGGTCCAATCTGCACTGACATGCTCCTGGTTACAAAATTATGAGGTCTTCGCTGGTACATAAATGGAAATCGTTTTCCAACAGTTTTCATTATCTGTTGAGGTGATGGTCATCATTATTTTGTAGCTAGTGAATCTGGATGATCAGATGTGATAGTTTTGCATCCTAAGTTCATGATTTTTCTTTAGTAATCTGAGGCTCAACAATAACATTCCAAAGGAAGTACAGATTTTAAATAAACCTAAGGGTGCGCTTGCCCCAAAGTGAAGGCGCTTCAGACATCTAATGTACATGTTTCCATCTGTATCAAGATTTTGAAATGTTTTTATCCTGTTTATAAAAATGACCAATGGATAATAATGGAAATAAATGGTAGGGATAAAAACTAATGCAAATGTATACAATCAGCAAAAAAGAATTGAAATCTGCAGTGTTTTTTTTTTCTCTGACTGGAGCATCGCATTTTCAAAGGTTGTTCACATTTTTAAAGAGCATTGGTCAATTTTTTAAATAATGGCAGTAGGATGAGTGTCAAAGCGTAACAACTACCTAATGAAAATACGCCCTTTAAAATTAGAATGTCATGTAGTTTGCACAAACTGAGTCAACGGAACAACCAGGTATTATCGCATTCTGATTTTCGGGCATTTTATGAAGTATCTTGAAGTTTAAGCCCCCCCATCTCCCTTCCTTTCCCAAGATTTTCACTAAACTGATGCTCCTACTTGTATTCACTTGTCGGGGGATGGGGGCCATAAAAGCCTCAGTATCTGTGCTGTCATTCTGAGGAGAAAAGCCCCATGTAATTGAAGTGTTGGGTGCAGAAAGGACATTTCTTGGTCGCAGTGTTTCAAAATCTCCACTTCTATTTTATATTTTAGAGGGAAAACTATGGTGTGAACTTTCTGAAATCCTTCGTTTTTAACATTGTGAAATCATGAAGAAAATTATGTAAAAGATGTAACGAATTCCATGCATTTGCTTTAATCATGATGAAACGGTGATTCCGAAACACCACAATTAAGAAATGCCCTTCCTACACCCAGCACTTTAATTTCTTCCAATTAAATACGGATTCTCCAGAAAGTTTGCCAATCTTTGACTGAAATTCTTTATCCTATCTTATTAAATTCCAGAAATTTATCCGCAATAGAGAATTTGCAGGTGTCTTGAATTTTGTGAATGTCATCTTTAAAATGATACTGCTAGGAAAAATGAGTACGAGGATATCCTTGGTCTCTAAATTGGACCATTATTGGAGAAAATATGACACAATAATCTAATCTGCTGAAATACATGTGTTCAAATGGAAAATGCCGCCAGATGACGCCACAAGGCGGCAAATTTCCTCAATTTTAAATCAATATTTCTCCAATCTCCCATGTCAGAAAAAAATTATGAAAAATACTGCAAACTCAGCTCTTTAGGCACTTTCAGACAAAGCAATAAAAAAATTTGCGTGCAAATTCTCCATTTTAGATTTATTATTGGTTTTTTTTGAGCATGCCAACGCGGTACCATATCCGGCCAAAAATGCAATAAAATTGTCGTGTGCAAATGGACCAGTGGACAAGGCACGAATTTCAGCATTCTGATACACGTTTCATAACCATAATTTCACGTAGAACACGATGCGCACAACGAAAATTACCAAAATCAACTCCTTATGAAGATATTTAATGATTCTTGATGCGTGAATTCAAAACACCCGCTCATAAAAACTCAATGCTCTACGTGACTCACATCGCGCGCTAAACGTTATCATGACAGTCTTTGCGATATAAAAATCTGGCAACCTTAATCTTGGCGCTTTGGCTCAGCTATAGCAAGTTGTTTATAGTTTGAACAGCACATGGTGGGGAATGAATATCGCTTGATTGAGAAGCTTGCTGAAACCGTTGTCGTGCACGATTTGACTCACGTAGAGCTTTGAGTTTCTTGTGAGCGGGCAGTTCAAATTCCTCGTAACCAATGTGAAATAAAAACGTTAATATCTTTGTCAAGAGTTGATTTTGGTAATTTTCGTTGCGCGAATCGTGTTCTTCGTGAAATTCTAGTCAAGAAACATTTATTAGAATGCTTAAATTCGTACCTTGTCTAGTGGTCCATTCTCCATTGTTTCTCGTGCACCCGAAAATTTCAAGGAAAAATATTCAATTTTTCCCTCCAGAATTATCGGGGGACGTTTGGCAAGATCCGAATGCTCTTATTACATTTTGCCTTAGTGTAGGAGCACGACCCGGCCATGACTGTGCAAACTGCGCTCCACACTCTCATTCATCAGGGATGAAAAGGGGCGAGAAACCCCGTCTTCGGTGGGCGGGGCGGGGGAGGGAGGCGGGGGCTAGCGACAGGAAGGAGAGCGCAGAGGACTGTGTCGCGAAAGGGGGCACGGCGGCGGGGGCGGGGGCTCCGGCCCAACAACCGCTTCATACTGGAAACTCATTACAATATGAAAGGAAAAGCTAATAAATAAAATAATGATATCGGGGAAAGATTAATTACCATCAGGACAAGCTCGGGCGAGCATAATGCTTTTAGCTATTTCTCCTGTTTTTTTTTTTCTTTCCTCCTCCCAACTTTTATCGTTCCACATTCCGTCTCCCTCCAATCGCAACCCATTTTCCAGTTCTTCAGATTTGCTCCGATGATCCCCCACTGTAATCCTTTCCTTCTCTTGATTTCTGGAGTCCTTGCTAATCTCTTCAGCGCTGGCTCCGGCGCCGCCACTTTCGGCCACCGATTAGGTTGAGAATCGGGGAATCAGCTACTTACACGGAGAAAAAAACTTCGTGCGTGGGACGCGAGGTTTAGGCCATATGGATCTCTGAAGTTTTCGGATTGAGCATCTGAACACTTTAGGTCCAGCTGCTGAGGTTTGGATCATACATCTGAAACTTCAGTTCTTACATCTGAAGTACCTAGGTTTTCACATCCGAAAAACTTCGGTTTTCACATCCGAAAAACTTCGGTTCTCACATCTGAAGTACTTCAGATGTATGAACTGAAGTTTCAGATGTGTGATCCGAACCTCAGCAGCTTGACCTAAAGTGTTCAGATGCTCAATCCGAAAACTTCAGAGATCCATATGACCTAAACTTCGGGTCCCACGCACGAAGTTTTTTTCTCCGTGTACAGTTAAGTTTATAGTAAAGTAGCTTAGCGCAAGTACGCTGCAAATCGGCAGTTGGCACTTTACAAGGGATTTTGCGGGACTGCTCTTGAGCTTTTCATTAGAGCTTTTGTAATGAGTGACAAGGATCCATTCGGGTTAATGGGACCGCGTTTAGTAGAGAGGAATCAAGCCACATTAGGTATTGCCAAAATAACCGGGCCATTTAATTGTTTACTAGAGAACGTTTGTGCGGACTCCTTTTAAAATTTCAAGGGAACAGCTTCCAGGATTAGCCAGAAATTAGCTTATGCACTATGTAAAAAACTCACTGAAATTTGCACACAAATCCGCACAGCCGTTTTCGTAAAAATTTAAATGGACCAATTGAATATGACAGTAGTTGATGTGGCTCGATTTCTTTTTGCTTATCGCGGCCCCATGTAAAGCATATCGACGGTGAAACTACCAAACCACGTATCTCGGTTTGCGACGTCGCAGACTTCCTGTCATACTTTATTTTTTAAATGAAAAACTACTTAACATCCAGTCTTGAAAATTTCTGTGATTTTTCCTCTTTGTGCGGAGAAAATTCCGTGAAAATTTCAAGGAATGATATTGATTTGGTCTACTTCAAAAAAATAAAATGTGAGCGTAGATTTTTAAACACCGCAAACGAGATACGTGGTTTGGTAGTTTCACCGTCGATATGGGGCCTCTCCAACGAAAGGGTGTGAATAAGGAACGACCTAGAATACTGCCGTTCTGAGGAAGAACGCCGTATAAACATTCGAGAGTTGCCAAATTTCCTTCAATAAAATATATACTTCTGAGGAAAGTTATGAATATTTTTCTTTCAAATTTTCAGGAACTGTTGGTGGAATTATGAACAACATTATCTGAAAAATCGTAAGAAAAATATGCATAAGTTTACCAGGAAATTCGTGTTTTATCAATAAAAATTTGGCAACGCCTGAAGGTTCAAACGGCGCTTTTCCTTAGAGTCCCCTTATACTGAGAGTCAAGACAATGTGA